CCCAGGAAGGCAGCGGAGGATGGCCCAAGTGCTTGGACCCTGCACCCGCATGGGAGACCAGGAGGAAGCACTGGCTCCTGGCTTCGGATCAGCGCAGCACGCGGGCGGCAGCAGCCATTTGAAGGGTGAACCAACGGAAGGAAAACCTTTCTCTCTGTCTCTCTCTCTCTCTCACTGTCTAAATCTGTCTGTCAAAGAAAAAAAAAGAGTTATGTATTTATTTAAAAAGCAGAGTTAGAGAGAGGAAGAGACAGGTCTTCCATCTGCTGGTTCACTTCCCAAATGGCCACAATGGCTGGAGCTGGGTTGATCTGAAGTCAGGATCCAGGACCTTCTTCTGGGTCTCCCATGTGGGTGCAGGGGCCCAAGGACTCGGGCCATCTTTCACTGCCTTCCCAGGCCACCAGTACAGAGCTAGATCAGAAGAGGAGCAGCAGGGACTCGAACCAGCGCCCATATGGGATGCTGGCACTGCAGGCAGTGTCTTTACCTGCTATGCCACAGCGCTGGCCCAGGCATCCGTTCTGCTTCTGCAAGTATGTCCTGGAACATGAGTTCTCTGACCTGTTTGTGGGTACATGGCTCAGGATTTGAGACGGAGGTTCTCTGATCTATGGGTGATTACATGTCCCTGAGTGGGAGGTCTCTGATTAGTTCTGGATTCAGTTCCCTAGAGTTTGACATCACCCATCTGTTTGCAAGTGTATGTCCCGCACATGCTGTCTGCTCCTTTCAGTGTTCTATGGCCCAGGATGTGAGGGATTTCATCTGTTCCTTGGTGTCTTTCCAAATGTGTAGTCTCTCGCATTTGAAGGTGTGGGCCCTGTGATGGATGGGAGGGCCCTATTTTCTTGGCAAGTATACTGCCAAGGGTGTGAGCTGTCTCCTCTCGTTGGGATGGGATGTCACAGTTTGAGAGCACTCTGCTTCCTCTCTGAGTGTATTTCCTAGTCTGTGGGGTCTCTGCTCTCTTTGTCGTGTATACTGCAGGATTTGTGTTTTCCAGTCTCTGTGCACGTATGCCTCAGGTTGTGTGGTTCTTTCTTTTTTAAAAAAAGATTTGTTTATTTATTTAGTTGAAAGCCATAATTACAGAGAGAGGCAGAGAGGCACACACAGAGAGAGAGAGAGAGAGAGAGAGAGAGAGAGAGGTCTTCCATCTGCTGGTTCACTCCCCAGATGACCACAGTGGCCAGGGTTGCGCCGATCCAAAGCCAGGAGCAGCTCCAGCCATTGAGGCCAATTGAGGAGTAAACCAGCGGATGGAAGGAACCCCCCGCCTTCTTCTCTCTCTCCATGTAATAAATCTTTAAAAAGAAGAATCCCAAGTGACAAATGTAGAAGGAAGGCATGAGGGAAATAGAAAATCAGTGTCAGAACACCACAGAAATAATTATTGCAAGCAAGATCCCCGAGGAATGCTAAAACCAGTGGGTAAAATTTTAAGGAGAAACCGGATATTGCATAGCTTCAATATATCTGCCTGTTTCCTGAGATGGCAGACATGAGACCCGAGTAGAAGGAAGCATGCTAGCCAGTGAGGTTTCTTGTATCTTTCTGAGTATGTATCACAGACTGGGGGCCTTTGATTGGTTTGTGTATGTTCATCAAGGGTACCAGATCTGTCCAGATTTTCCTTATATATGTCCTAAGGTGTTAGGACCCTAGCTATAAAGCAAGTGCTTGTCCCACTCGGGTCAGCTGTTTGTGGATGTATGTCCCAGGATGTGAGGTCTCTGATCTGTTTAGCTATGTTTATTCAAGGGGTGGAGTTTCTACGAGTCTAGTTTGGAAAGTGTGTTTCTCTACATTTTGTGGTTGTACATCCCAAGTTTTGAGGTCTCTGATCTTCTAGGGGAATTATTTTTCCAAAATTTGAGATTTCTTATTTGTTTGGGGGTATTTATCATAGCAAGTGATGTGTTGGATTTCTTTGAGGTATGTATGTCCAGAATGTAAGGTTTGTTTTTACTTGGTTTTGTTTTTAATTTTAATTTATTTGAGGGTTCATTTGGTTCACTCCCCAAATGCCACACGAGTGAGGCCAAAGCCAGGAGCTGGGAATTCAATCCAGGTCTCCCATGTGGGCGGCAGGAACCTAGTTATTTGAGCCATCACTGCTGCCTCCCAGGGTCTGCATTAACAGGAAGCTGGAGTCAGGAGCCAGAGCTGGGAATTGAACCCAGGTACTCTGTTCAATAATGGATACAGGCATCTTAACTGCTAGGCTGACTACGTTCCCCGCAAAGTGTAAGGCTTATGATCTTTTTGTGGTTGTATATTTCATGATGTGAGGTCTCTGTTCATTGCTGTACTTTTTATTTATTAATTTTTAAATATTTATTTATTTATTTATTTATTTGAAAGAGAGAGAGTCAGAGAGAGAGAGAGAGAGAGAAAGAGAAAGATCTTCTATCCACTGGTTCACTTCCCAAATGGTCACAATGGCCAGTCTGGAGCCAGGAGCTTCTTCCAGGTCTCCCATGTGGGGTAGCAGGGGCCCAGGCACTTGGGCCATTTTCCGCTGCTTTTCCCAGGCCATTAGCAGGGAACTGGATGAGAAGCGGAGCAGCCAGGAAACAAACTGGAGTCCATATGGGATGCTGATGTTGTAGGTGGTGGCTTTACCCACTACACCATAGCGCCGGCCCCATTGCTGTACTTTTTAGTATGTGATGTCTCTGTCCATGAACTTTGTCAAAGATGTAAGTTCTCTGATCTGTTTGTATATTCTAGGTCATGAACCCTCTGATCTGTTTGATGTTGAATGCACAGTGTGTGAGGCTTCTGAGTGCTGTGTGTGTATGTCTCGGGGGTGAGAGTTAGCATGGGTTTCTGGGTGTGCATCCCACGTTTTTGGGTCTGCTCACCTGCTGGGGATGAAGTTCAGCAAGTGGCAAATCTGAACCCTTTATGTGGCAGGCAGCGAGGGCTCTCACAGGATGTAGGATTCACAGGATGTTGTGACTGTACATCCCTTGGTCTGAATCCTCTAATGTCTGTGGGTATGTGTCCCTGGAAGTGAGCTTTTATGATCTCCTTGTGGGTGCTGTGTCACAAGATATCGGGTCTATGATCTATTTCGGGCTCCTTTTCACAGCATGCCTGGTTTCTGACATGTATGTGAGCATGCGTTGGCAGTGCTTGCTCTCTCTGATCTGTTTCCTCTCGTATGTGGCCTCTGAGCACAGCCCATGGGGTGAGCTCACTGATCGTCAGTTGGTGTATGTCTCAGAGTATGAAGTCTCTGACTTCTGTGTGGATGTGTGTCATAGGGTTTGAGGCTACATATCCAGGTAATGAGGTCTCTAATCTGTCTATACATCCACGTAACAGCTGGGACTAAGCTGAGCCAAACCTAGGAGGTAGGACCAGCCAGGTCTCTAACATGGATGGCAGGAACCCAGGTACTAGAATCATCATCAATTGGCTCCCAGGTGCATTAGTAGGAAGCTAAATGAGATGTGCAGAGTAGCCAGGACTAGACCCAAGCACTGTGACCAATATGGGATGCACATGTTCCCAGTGAAGGCATATCCCAAGATGGAAACTGTTCTTTTTTGATTTGCCTAATGCCATGAAGATTCCGATGTTTGGGGGCAATACTGTGGTACAGTGGGTAAAGCTGCTGCCTGCAGTGCCAGCATCCCATATGAGCACCGGTTCGAGTCCCAGCTGCTCCACTTCTGATCCAGCTCTCTGCTGTGGCCTGGGAAAGCAGTAGAAGATGGCCCAAGTCCTTGGGCCCCTGCACTCACATGGGAAGACCTGGAGGAAGCTCCTGGCTCCTGGCTTCAGATTGGCGCAGCTCCAGCCTTTGCGGCCATTTGGGGAGCGAATCAACAGATGGAAGCGCGTGCTCTCTCTCTCTTCCTCTGCCTCTCTGAAATTCTGCCTTTCAAATAAAATAAAGTTTTTAAAAAAGATAAAACATAGATTCAGGTGTTTTCTGGTAAATGAACTGGGTTGAGAGGACTCTGGCGTGTTTGAGGGTATTCGAGGAGTGAGTTTTCTGAGCTGTTAGATGTGTATCCCAGATTGTTAGATCTCTGCTGCTTTTGGCATTATTTGCAAATATATGAGATTTCCTGTTTGTATGCTTGTATCTGTAATGGGTTGTGAGGTTTATTATTTGTTAAAGTGCCTAAGGCATGAGGTTTATTTTTTTTAAGATTTTATTTTCATTTTATTTGAAAGGCAGAGTAACAGAGAGAGAGAGAGAGAGAGAAAAGAAGAGATCTTCCATCTGCTGCTTCACTCCTCAAATGGCCGCAACAGCCAGGTTGAAGCTAGGAGCTACGAACTCCATCCTAGTCTCCCAAGTGTGTGGCAGGAGCCGAAGCATTGGGGCCATCTTTTGCTGGCGTCCCAGGCACATTAGCAGGCAGCTGCATCGGAAGTGGTGCAGCCGGAAGTTGAACCGGTGCTCCAATATGGGATGCCAGCATTGCAGGTGGCAGTTTAACCCGCTGCACCCCAACAGTGACCTCGTGTACTGAGCTCTTGTTTCAGAGGTACCTGCATCACTGGGGTATCCAATCCGTTTTGCTTGTTATTTCTCAGGGGAGGTCTTTGTTCCGTTTGTGAGTGTGTATCACAGTATATGAGGCTCTTAAACCATCTCTTCTGCTCGTTTATCAAGAGTGCGAGGACTACTCTGTTTGTGGCACGTGTGCCAGGATTTGAGGTCTCTGAGCTTTGTGGCAGTATGTGTCGTGGGAAATGAGCCTCTTTATTGTGTGCGCAGTTGTACTCTGCTGACTTACGGTCCTCTAAACATGCCCATGTCTTAAGACTTGGAACCGAAACACGTGACCTTACCTGTTAAAAGCATACTTTGTAGACGGGATTCAACTCAGCGTCTTTTTTTTTTTTTTTTAACAGGCAGAGTTAGACAAATGAGAGAAAGACAGAGAGAAAGGTCTTCCTTCTGTTGGTTCACCCCCCCAAAATGGCCGCCGCGGCTGGCGTGCTGCACTGACCTGAAGCCAGGAGCCAGGTGCTTCTCCTGGTCTCCCATGCGGGTGCAGGGCCCAAGCACTTGGGCCATCCTCCACTGCACTCCCTGGCCACAGCAGAGAGCTGGCCTGGAAGAGGGGCAACCGGGACAGAATCCGGCGCCCCGACCGGGACTAGAACCCGGTGTGCCAGCGCCGCAAGGTGGAGGATTAGCCTAGTGAGCTGCGGCACCAGCAAACCTGTGCTTTTCACGAGACGAAGACTGGGTGATTTGTTCCAACAGTGGCAAGGCGTGCAGGGCCTGATGCACATCTGGTTGTTGGTGGGCATCCCAGCATGTGACTCCCCTGACCTCTGTGTGTGTGTGTGTGTGTGTGTGTGTGTTGTGCGGGAGGCCTCTGATCTGTGTGTGGGTGTTTGTACCAGGCTGACAGGTCTCGGACCTATTGGAGAGTGTGTGTGTCCCTAGACGTGTGGTCGCCAAGGTTGTAGCAGGTGTGCCTCTTGGGATACGAGGTCTCTCATCTGTTTTTGTGTGTCTGAGGTTTCTTGGCTGACTGGAGGGGTGAGTTATGCTTAGGTTGTTAGGTTTCAGAGGTTTTGCGAGCTTTCCAGAATCACAGGTGTCTGATTGAGCTGGGAATGAAGAGATGAGGTGTCTCTGGTGTGTCTGGGTGTGCATATCTGGGCGTGAGATTTGAAGCTCATTGTGGGTTGGGTTCAGTGTGGCTTGAGGGCTCTGATCTTTCTGTGGGTATATGTCCTCCAGCAGTATATTCCCAAGATGTCAGCTCTATAATCACTCTCCAGGTGGTTTTCCGAGCACGTGAAGGTCTCTGATCTGTGGTGGCTGTGAAGTCTACGGTCAGTTGTGAGGGGCTGGTGGTGTGAATGAAGTGGGTGAAGCTGCCGCTTGCAATGCCAGCATCCCGTGTTAGAGTGCTGGTTAGAGTCCCGGCTGCTCTACTTTTGATCCACCTCCTGCTAATGTGCCTGGGAAGGCAGCAAAAGTTACCCAAGTGCTTGGGCCCCCTGCACCCATGTGGGAGACCCAGATGGAGTTCCAGGTTCCTGGCTTCGGCCTGGCCCACGCCTGACTGTTGTGGCTATTTGGGAAGTGAACAATTAGTGAATGAAAGATTCTCTCTCTCTATTTCTGTCTCTCTCTCTCTTGTTCTCTGTCACTGTGACTGTCAAAAACACAAGAAATTGGGTGCGGCTCTGTGGCATAGTTGGTAAACCTGCCACCTACAGTTCTGGCATCCCCTACGGGCGCCGGTTCAGGTCCCAGCTGCTCCACTTCTAATCCAGCTCTCTGCTATGGCCTGAGAAAGCAGTAGAAGATGGCCAAAGTCCTTAGGTCCCTACACCTGGGTAGGAGACCTGGAAGACACTCCTGGCTTCTGGCTTCGGATTGGCCCAGCTCCAGCCATTGCAGCCATCTGGGGGAGTAAACCAGAGGATGGAAGATTCTCTCTATCTCTCTCTGCCTCTCCTTCTCTCTGTGTGTAACTCTGACTTTCAAGTAAATAAGTAAATATTTAAAAAAATACAAGACATTGAAATAAAATCTCAAAAACAATAAATAAAGTCCATTATAAGTATGTATGTTGAGATGTGAGCTCTTTGGATGTACAGTCTCTGATCTGTTATGGGAGTGTATTATAGAAATTGTGGTCTCTTCATCTCTTTGAATAGGCCTTCATTCTGCATTCTTTACAAGATTTATTTATTTATTTAAAGTCATAGTTACAAAGAGAAGGAGAGGCAGAGAGAGAGTCTTCTATCCGCTGTTTCACTCCATAGTTGGCTGCAATGGCCAGAGCTGAGCCGATCCAAAGCCAGGAGCCAGGAGCTCCTTCTGGGTCTCCCACGTGGGTGCAGGGGCCCAAGGACTTGGGCCATCTTCTACTGCTTTCCCAGACCATAGCAGAGAGCTGGATCAGAAGTGGAGCAGCCAGGACTCGAACCAGCACCCATATGGGATGCCGGCACCTCAGGCAGCTGCTTTACCTGCTTCGCCACAGCGCTGGCCCTTTCATTCTACATCTGCCTTTATGTCATCACAGCATTGGCATCTCTGATCCTTTTGTGTGTACTTACCAAGGTTGGGTGATGTCTTCTGTTTGTGATTATGTGTCCCAGTTTGTGGTGTCCCTCCCCTCTTGGTGGGTGTATGACACAGAACATGTGCCTCCCCCTCATTTTGGATTCTGTGTCCACGGGTGGGAGGTCTCAGATCTCTTCGGAACAGTGTGACACAGGATGTGGGATCCCTGAGCTGCGGATGCGCGTGGTTTTCACCATGCGATGTTTTCCATTGCTTGTGGGTGTATATCTGAGGTTGGTGAAATTAAGGTCCCTGAAGGATGTCCTTGTCCTAATCTCTGGAACATGTGAGTCTGTGACCTTACACATGGAGAGGTCCCTAGCACATGTGACTGGGAATCATCGTGAGATGAGGAGGCACCCAGATCTTCCTGGTGAGCCCAGTATAATCACCATGTGAGGTCTGGGGGCTGTTTGTCGTGTTTGTCCCTGGTGGCCGGATAATGGCACGTCAAAGTTATCCTCTTCCTACTTCCTGGTACCCATGATTTTGCTCATTCCCGTGGACTTTGCACGTGTGATTAAGGTCAGCTGGGAAAATTACCCCAGATTCTCTGGCTAGGCCCAAGGGAATCACAGCATCCTTATAGGAGGGAGGCATGAAGGCAAGAGTCATTGCAGTGGCGGGAGCAGAGAGAAATGATGATGCTACAGTATTAGCAGGGGTCAGAGAGAGAGAGAGAGAGAGAGAGATGGGTTCATGGTGGGGGGAGAGACTGGTGTGAGGTGGGGGTCTGGCACTGAGCTCAGGAATGCAGGCGTCCTCCAGGAACTGGCCTCTCCCAGAAGAACTCCAGGAGGAAGTCGGCTCTGCCAGCACCTTGACTTTTACCCTGTAAAACTCCTTGTCGGGCTTCTCATCTGCGGAAACGTAAGACAATAAATTTGTGTTGTTTTACGACCAAAAGATTGTGGTGGTTTGTTTCAGCAGCGACAGAAAACGAACACGATGTCCCAGGTTGGGGTGCCTCAGTTTGGTTGTCGGGGCACATCCCGGGATGTGAGCTCCGGGACCTGTGCGTGTGTGTGTGTGTGTGTGTGTGTGTCTGATGGTGGAGGTGTCTACTGTCCATGCTGGTATATGTAGCAGGGGATTATGTCTCTGTCTGTTGATCTGTTTGGAGGTTGGTGTTCCAGAATTTGTGCCCTCAGCTTTTTGGGGGTGTTATGTCCCAGGACGGGAGGGCTCCAGTCTAATTTTGTTCCATGTCCCAACCTGTGAATTCTCTGATCTGTTGAGGTGTGTGTAAGTCCAAGGGGTAAGGATTTGCCCTGGACTTTGTCAGTCCTTTCTGAGTGTGTTTCCTTTTGTTTAGATAAGCCTGATGTGTTTCTGGCTTGATGTCCCAGAAAGTGAGACTCCCTGTCTCTGTCCCTGTCTCTGTCCCTGTCTCTGTCTCTGTCTGGTAGTATGAATCACAGTGCAATCACAGGATCCTTAGAGGAGAGAGGCAGAGAAGCCGACAAGAGGCCCACAGCAGACATCCGAGAGAGAGGTTTGAAGATGAACTGCTGCTGGCCTTGAAGACAGAGGAAGGAGCCCCAGGTCAAGGAGGGCACGCAGCTCTAGAAAGTGGAAATGGCCAGGGTACAGAGCCTCCAGCAGCTCTGCCGCCGACGTACTCGACTGTCGCCCTTCCAAAACCCATTTGGGTCTTCTGGCCTGCAGAAAGGTAAGATCATAAATCAGTGGTGTTTCACGACACTGAGGTTGTGATTTGCTACAGCCACAGTTGAAAAGGAGTGCGTTGTCCCAGGTCGTGGTGTCTGTCTGCGTGTTGAGGTGCATTCCACGATGTGAGCTCCATGTGTGCGTGTGTGTCTGATGGGGGAAGTCTCTGGTGCGTGTGTAGGTGTATGAACCCCACGGAGAGGGCTCTGAGTATTTGAGTGTGTGTGTGTCCCAGAATCTGAGTTTTTCCAGCTGCCTGTGTGTGGATGTCCTAGGATATGACATCTTTAGGCTGATTTCTGGGAGTGCATTCCTATGTGTGAGTCTTTGAGTTTTTCGTGGAATAGATTCCAGAAAGTTCAGTCTCATCCATTTGGAGGACATTACTGATGATCAGAAGTTTCTGATTTTCTTGGTTGCATATGAGGGCACTTCCAAAAGATTGTGGTAAAATGGAATTGAAGATAAGTTTATTCTGGTACAAAAATGGGGGCTATTTCAAAAATTTCATGGAAACACATTATACACACACACACATATACACATACACACACACTGTGAATTTCAAGTTTTTCACACCAAAACACACTTGAAGTTAATTCCATTTTTTGGAAAAACTTTTTGAAGTCTCCTTATATATAGCAGGATGTTGGTTGTCTGATCGGTTTAGGTTTGTGTGGCCAAGGCGTGAGGTTTCTGAGCTGTTTGTGGGTGTATGTCTCAGGGTGGAGGGTTCTCATATGTTTGCTGATAAATGTCCCAGCACGAGATCTCTCGGATCCGTTGGTGGGCACTTGTGATCTATGTCTGGTGTTTTCCTGGCCTGTGGGGTCTCTGACTTGTGGGTGTATGTCGCAGGATTTGAGATCTCTTCAGCTATTTGTGGGTGCATGTCTCAGGTCTGTATGGGCTCTGTATTGTTTGGGAAGCACATCCTAGGATCCGAACTTTCTGATTGGTTTACCGTACATGACTCCAGCGTTGAAAGTGCCGATCCGTCTGTGGCTATGTGTTGCAGTTTGAAGGCTGTGGGTGTCTTTGTGGATTCAGGTGCAGGTTGTGAGGCTTCTAATCCACTTGCCCGTGCATGTCCTTAGGATTTCAGCTCCCTGATCAGTCTGAAATCAGAGTGAGGACTCTGAACTATTTGTGGTATTTGAGGCCTCTGGTTGCTTTGTGGCTACGTGTGCAGATTGTGAAGTTTTTAGTCTCTTTGTTGGTATGTATTGCAGGATGTGGCCTTCTTCATAGGCATGCGGGCTACATCTGATGTTGTGAATTCTCGGGTCTGCTTGCAGGCAAATGAACCAAGATGTGAGGTCTGTGTGAGGGTCTGTGTCGAGGCTGTGATGTCTCGGATCTGTCTGTAGGTGTATGTCCCGCGATGGGACTTTCCTGATCTGTTTGTGGGTGGCTCTGATGATGTGGAATGTCTGGGGTGTTTGACCTGTGCTGGAGATATCCTCCGGGCACCTGAGCCTTCTGGCCTGTTCGTGACAGCATGGCCCTAGGAAACGTTTGCTCCCTGGACTCCTCATGGATGCACACTCCAGGAAGTGAGTTCTCTGAGCTATTGGGGAGTGCGTAGGACAGCTTGTCAGATCTCTGAGGTCTTTTAGGTATATTTCCAAGCAGATGTCATTTATTTGCAGATCTGTCTATATCATATATATTCTGGTATGTTGAGGTGTGTATGTGTCCAGACTGGCAAGTTACTGAGTGCTTTGTGGGTTACTTCCCTTAGTTTGAAAACCGCAGACCTGTCAGGGAGTATGTCTCAGGACATAAAATCTCTGATCTCTTTATATGAGTGCAAGATCTCAGATCCATCGCCTATTTGGGGCTCCTTTTCTTAGCATGTGAGGTCTCTGCCTTGAGTATAAGCCTGTGTTGCAGGATTTTAAATCCCTGATCCGTGCATGTGTATCTGCCTCAAGCCGTGAGATCCTGGATCTATGTGTGGGTACATGTCTTGCAGGATCAGGTCTCTGCACGCATTGTTGGTGTACGGCGTGGATGTCAGGTCTCTAAGCTGTCTGTGGTTTCATGTTGTAGGGTTTGAGGTCTCTGTTGGTGCAAGTCGATCGCTGTATGTGGATGGCAGGGTCTGATCTCTGTGCGAGTCTGTAGAGTGTGGGGGCTATTGAGTTTGTTGTTCCATGTCCCATTTTGTGAGGTGCATCACCTGTTTGGTGGGGTTTATCTCTGAGAAAGTGTTTCTCCTTGCTGTGTGTGTGTGTGTAAGTGTACCTGTCTCGGGTCTGGAGGTTGGATCTGTTTGGGGCTATACTTCCCAGGATGTGAGGTCCCTGGTCTCCTGGTGGGTGTGGATGCTGTGCTGTCAGCTCCATACCTCTCTGAGTGTCTACATCTCAGATGGGAAGTTCTCCTACGTGTTTATGGGTTTAATCCCAAGCGATGGAGGATTCTGAGCAGTTTTGCATGTGTGTCCAACAATGAGAAGCTCTGCCCTTTGGGGATGTTATGTTAGATTGGTGGGAGGTATCCGATCTATTTGGAAGTATGTTGCTTCAAGTGAGGTCTGTGTACTGTTTGCCCTATTTGGCTCTGGTGGCTGGATGATGACACCCCAAAGATGTCCACTTCCTAATTCTTGGAACCCACGATTGTGCTAATTTACACAGAAAGGGGGTTTTTACAGATTAGATTAGGGTGAGCATCTAAGATGGGCAGAAACCCCAGATTCTCTGGCTAGGCCCAAGGGAATCACAGCATCCTTATAGGAGGGAGGCATGAAGGCAAGAGTCATTGCAGTGGCGGGAGCAGAGAGAAATGATGATGCTACAGTATTAGCAGGGGTCAGAGAGAGAGAGAGAGAGAGATGGGTTCATGGTGGGGGGAGAGACTGGTGTGAGGTGGGGGTCTGGCACTGAGCTCAGGAATGCAGGCGTCCTCCAGGAACTGGCCTCTCCCAGAAGAACTCCAGGAGGAAGTCGGCTCTGCCAGCACCTTGACTTTTACCTTGTAAAACTCCTTGTCGGGCTTCTCATCTGCGGAAACGTAAGACAATAAATTTGTGTTGTTTTACGACCAAAAGATTGTGGTGGTTTGTTTCAGCAGCGACAGAAAACGAACACGATGTCCCAGGTTGGGGTGCCTCAGTTTGGTTGTCGGGGCACATCCCGGGATGTGAGCTCCGGGACCTGTGCGTGTGTGTGTGTGTGTGTGTGTGTGTGTCTGATGGTGGAGGTGTCTGCTGTCCATGCTGATGTGTGATCTGATCTCTCCGTGGGTCTGTGTTGCATGGTGTCAGGTCTGTGTTCTGTTTCTGGTATTTTCCTGGCCTGTGAGGTGGCTAACTTGATTGCAGCTGTGTGTTGCAGAATTTGAGCTCTCCGATTTGTTTGTGGGTATGAGTGTGAGCATGTGAGCTCCCTGACCTGTGCAATGGTCTATGTCCCACACACGGTGTGAGTTCTCGGAGGTGTTTCTGGGCATACGTCATGGTTGTGAGGCCTACAGCCTGTTTGTGGGTGTGTTTTTCAGCACGTGACTCACATGGCAGTGAGAGTATATTGTGGGGTTTGAGGGCTCAGCTTGGTTTCTGGGTGCATTTCCAGGTAGCTAGTACTGTCCTCACTTGAGCATGAACCATGACAAGCATCAGGTGTATGATCTGCCATTGGGTAGAATATCACGCTCTCTGCGGGCATGCGCCCCAATATGTAGGGGTCCTGCCCTGTTCTTTGGCTTAGCTCCCAGAGTATGAGTGCTCTGATCTGTTTGTGGGTGTATCTCTGATATTTTTAAGGTCTCACGTCCCAGGGAATGAGTTCTATGATCTGTTTGTAGGATGTTATTTCTCTGAAGTGCTTGTGGGCGGACATCTCAGCTTGTGCGGTTTTTTGATCTTTCCGTGAGTGTGTGTCACAGGATGTGAGGTCTCTGTTTTTTGGGCGTGCGCTTCCTAGAATTTGAGTCATCTGAGCTGTTTGTGTGTGTCGCAGGAGCTAAGGTCTTTGAGCCGTTGCTTGGTGTATATCTAGGATGTGACGTCACTGATCTCTTTGGGTGGGTGTGTGTTCCATGATTGGCAGTCTCTGAATTAGTGCAGGTTTCGCCTCTACCCTAATTATTCTGTGAATTTTGTTTTGGGGAGTCTATACCCTAAGGCTCAGAAGGCTTTCCAAACCCTGGATTTCAGGGATCCTGGTCTATATTTCAGGGGTGGGGAGTTCGTGGGGATGTTGGCAGGGACTGTGTGTACATTAAGAGCCCTCCGAGCTCTTCGGCTTACCTGAGTCCTAGGATACGTGGTCCTTGAAGCTCTTTTGGTTTCAGAATTGCTCCACCTGTTTGGGAAATATTTTCAGGTGTGACGTCTCTTCCTTTTGGGAAATCTCAGTCGCATTAGGTTGTTTCCCCCCTTCCCCCGCCAGGGTCAAGGTCTCTGCACTTTGAATAGGGGTGTGTGGAGCAGGAAGTGAGTTTTCTGAGCTGTTTGGGGGGGTCTATATTTGGTGTGTGAAATCTCTTAATTCTATGCAAAACATGATGTCTCTGAGCTTCTTACTTAGCTGCCTCTCTTTTCAGTGTGTCTGCGGCCTTCAAATGACAACTCTGATGTGTGTGGGTGTCTGTGCCTAGTGTGTCATTGCTCTAGACTGGTGTGGGCCTGTGTCCCAATGTGATATTATGGGTTGTTGGGATTTTTCTGAGCCGTTTCAGCCTCTGTTTCTAGTGATGGTGAATTATGATGGTTTCAAGCCTCTGAGGTGCTGCACCCTCTGTGTGCTAACATGTGAGGTCTCTGATCGCTATGTCCCTTGCTGTCAAGGCCCCTCAGCTGTTGGGCTGTTTCCAAGGGTGAGGTAGTTCCTGTTGGGGGAGTCTCATTCCCTGAGACGGAGGTGTCTGACTTACTAGGGGTCTGTTTTCAGGGTTGGAGGTCTCTGAGCGTTATGGCATTCTGTTACCAGTTTCTTATGTCTCTGAGATGTTTGGGGGTCTGTACCCAGGATGTCATGTCACTGAGCTGTT